TTAGTATAATATTTCATGTTAAACCATGCCCGTTTAGTTAGCTTTTCGAATTATTTTTTGGACGTAAAATTAAAAAATTAAAAATCGGGCTTCTTACGGAATCTGATTTTAATCTTCTTTACCTATAATTTGTTTTATTTATTTATCTTTTGTGTATTGAACTTGTGAAGAACATTATAATAAATAAGTTAACACTCCTGTCACAGACCAAAATTTTTTTTCTATCGTCTTTGTGATGTACACAGTAAAATATTTTTAAATTGTGTAACAGAGTCACTATTTCTTGAAGTGTAAATAAAAATATCGAAAAAGATAAAACAAATTTAGTATTCTGGAATAATATGCACAAAAAAGTATTTTAAATATTTAAAAATCACTTCTCAAAAACTGTTGGTGAAGTATTTGTGTGCTTAACATGATTATCTGTTTTAAAGTTTTAAAAAATACAAGAAGGTTTGATAAACATAATTCCGAAGATTATAACAGACTAATCCATATATTGAACTGAAGGTACGCAAAATTTTAGATAATTTTTGGAATTCCATTAGCATTGAGCCATTGACGCTCAAAGTACATATAATATTATATTATTATGTATTAAATATTATTTGATACGATAGTTAAAAATTATGGTAAAAGTTGTTGTACATTAATTTATTTCTCTTATGTGAGATGTGACCCTACTGATTTGAGGTAGGTTCGTGTTATCAGTAAATCGAAGAAGTGCACCATCTGGTTTTATATAATCTGTGATCATAGCGTACGATTTGGATAGATCTATTTTAATGACAGAATGGATTTGAAACCTTATTTATGTATTTAGAAAAGAGAAAATTGTATCCGTTGAGTACTTTGAGCAGATAGTTTTGGGAGAAGAACAATAAACAACCAAGGATAATATGGTCATGATGAATTTCGTAGGCTTGCGAGGAACAAATGAATAAGAGTATTCAGAATCCGAAAACGTATCTTTTTGGGTAATAAATAACAAAGATGTGGCGATGTGCGATTTGTATTGTTCGAACGCGGCTGAATTTCCCGGCGAACCAACAAAGTCCAAAGGGTTTACAAGTCGTGTGATCGGCGCGGAATGTTCGCGACGAGTCGTTTCCCCTCCACGAAATCCACACGTGGCTTTCGTATCGGGACATCTTTTTTTTGTCTTTTGCCAACGTTTGAACCAGGCGGATTACGCACCGCCGGTTCGCTTCGTTGTTGTCGGTCTGTGATCGACCTCGTGGTCATTCGACATTGTGTTTTTATTATTAATAGTAAGTCAGGTTGAACGTTGAAACCACTAATATAATTTGCGCATTTTTATACCGTCGTAAACTTCGAGACAGTCGAAGTTTGACGGATTGTGTCACAGCCCACCACCGAATTTATTATACGAGATAGACGCTGTGGTATTTCCAGCGAGGACGGGGTTGACTGCAGTGAACAACGTGGAGGTGTCGATCAGGTCATATAATTATATTATTATTTGCTGTTTAAATTATTTAAATCATTGTTATTWTTATTGGCTGTAGCGCGTGGTGAACTGCACACGGCRCTTACATTTGTTATTTATTTATTATTGTATGTACCTTTAWAGTATTATTGTGTAAAATATATATTGTGCCATTGCGCCTTAATCTACTTAGACATATTTGTACGAGGTAATATATTGTGAGTTTGCACCCCTTCTGTCCACGACATTACGCGAGTCATTGTCGCTTACCGCGATATTAAAAGTAGAAGCGGCGCGGCGCGGTGGATATGTATAGTTAAAACATTGCAATCAATGTGGGCTGTATAAAAAGCATCATAGCCAACTTATACAGATATTAACAMAATGGAGACCTAACCTAATAAAAATGACCGAGGGGAAGGGCTAGACATCGGCRGAAGGGCCGAGTGGAARATGATTTAAAAAAATTATGAGTACAAAGAAGGGTTGAAGATGAAGGCTKGCAGCGCGTGGAGAAACAKGGAGGGAAATTGTAGAAGCGGAAACGGACATAATTGGCCTAGGAGAACACAGCGTGTAATGGCATGCATTTCCTTACCTGTTTATGAGATTCTTCGAGATGTTTCATGAGTACGGCGACCACTACGTTGACCAAAACGAACTGCGCCATCAGCACGAATATGACGAAAAACATGGGCGCTATGCCGTCAGCGACGCAGCAGTTTTTCACACAGTCTGCCGCGTTGTCGCAGTCCTCACGGAGTGCATCTTTCATGATGCCATTCCAGTTGTCTCCAGTCGCAACCCGGAATAGCGTCAGGAAAGCCATTCCGAAGTTACCGAAGTGAGCATGCTCTCCCAGACCTTGGCACGAATGCTCTTCGCTGCACTCTATGCATAGTAAATTATTTGACATTATTTAATGCTCAAATAAGAGTAAAGAGTAAGAAAATAGAATAAATATTTTTTTMATTAAAATTTCAARAAATGTYTATTTTTATGAATAGACTTATATTTTGTATATAAATAATTAAAAAAAATATATCTTAAATGCTGAATATTTTTAAATTGTGATATAAATTATCTAAAACAACAATAATTAATTTAAAATATGCGATTAAAACCAATAAACCTTTACAATACTATCGATTAATTAAAAAAACAAAATATACAAATATTATAACACTTAACATTTCTCATTTTAAAATCTAGAAATCACGTGTTTTGTACTTTCGTTTTGTATTTGCGCTAGTTTTTGTACCTTTTTTTTTAAATTTAAAAATTTATTATAATAATAAAATGTTTCAGTACACATCGTGTTATTACAAGTAATTATTTTTTAACAATGGATTCAATTATACTAGATACATGAATTTTTTACATTGGTACAGTTGAGTACATTATAGATATATTATATAGTATGAGTGTAAGTGTATTCTTATATGGGTTTTCTGATGATGACTCTTCACTATCCTTTAAGAGAATGTCCYGAGGGAGTCAAGATCGTAGACGTCTGTTTAGTGTTTTTTTTTACTAGGTTGTAGTGACGGAGTCCGTCTGGATTTTTTAAATTGTTGTGAAAGTTTTGGAATTGCGTTTTTATCTATTTGTTAATGAAGGGTATACCTGTATCATCGTGAGTTTGATGTTTGATTGTTTCTCATAAATCACGGAGCTTTGAGGCAAATCCCCAAAAATTTGTATTTTTTTTATTTTAGTGGGTGACACAGCTGCCCATGCGCGACAGGCGTAGGATATCAGAGGCTATTTATTATTGATGTGTACAGAARGAGTGAAGACTTAATTTGGTGTGTTGATTGAAAATTTACTAAGGGGTGGAGCTTTCTCATTTTCGAATATTCCTGTGAGAGTTTTATAATTATGTTTTTCTTCGAGAAAAACACCAATTTATACCTTTAAATTTTCTAGAAAAAACGCAAATGAGCATAAAACCCCAAGCCTTTGTGTATATCCCTCTATCTCAGGAGAGGGTTTTATTGACATAGACACGCAGTCATGCTTGATACATTTTTTGTTTTTTAAAAAAATGAGTCGTTTATATTATGACGTTATGACAATTGAATAATTATTAATTGTGCTTACCGAGTCTCCCAAACAGTTCMACGCCCAATGCGKCGAATATGAAGAACAATAGAAAAAATAGAAGTCCTAAATTTCCTACTTGAGGTAGTGCTTGCATCACGGTATCCAAAAGAGCTCTTATTCCTTTAGCCATTTTCAGTAATTTTAAAACTGAAAAAAAAGGCACAACAATTATTATTATACAATACTTTAATAATTAATAATAATACGTATATAATGAACGTTAAAAAGAATAATGATAATAATTTTCTTTATGTACATATTCTATGACGTCATGAAGTAATTTTATGACAATAAAATATCAACATAATATATAATATGTATWACGATTATTTTAAAAACAAGAAATTCAATGTTTATTTAATTCAAAAATTTAAGAAAATWTTTTTGAYGAGTGTTAAATGCTTAACTTTTTCGGTATGTATTATAGTTTTATTTTCGTAGAAAGTTGCACATATCCATCTAATTATTTTAAAATTCTCAAATTACGTATTTACCACGTTAATTTTTTTTACCAACTGAAAACAGTTTGAATGGAACATGGATTATTCGGTATTTTGGTCAATATGCAAATGTCAAATGCATAGTTATTATTTTAAATACATACCAWTGGTTGTAGATTTAAATATAAACTAGCCAAATAAATTAGACCAAGTTAAACAAATGATTTAAGTTATGCACATTGCAAATCCCAAAAGATTTTACTTTCGCAAATCGGGGGAAAATATTTAAATATTTGTATTCTCCGAACAAATAAATTTACTATTTATTTGTTTAAATTTCGTCGTTTCTCGTTATAATAATATACAGATGCATATAGTGCACACATTAACCTACGAGTATATGGCAATCGCTGCCACAATTTTTGTGATTTATTAATGTTTCTGATAGGAAAATCCGATTTTCGTTTAATTCCCATTTCCCAAAGCCGTTGCACGTAATAGTAATAGGTATACTTAAATTATAACAAAATGCGTTAACTATGTTTATTTTCATAACGAAAACACACGCGCATATTATTGGCGTATTACCTATACTAAAATGTTTCTATATAGCTAACACATACACACATATTATATATAATATACATCGTACCTAATATATGATATTGCGGTCGAAGCGAACGTTATTGTACTAATTGGCTGTTATAAGGTATGCAAACACATTTAAAACTCTCCCACACACACAGACCTTAAGATTATTGGCTTATATAAAATATACGGATGTGTAGTAGTTACGTGGTGGTAGCATGGTAGGTTGGAATACATCCACAAGAGTGAAAATTAAATTATAGAAAATAGCATACTGCAATATATATACATAATATAAGAATACTACAGGGTCAAGGAGGTTCTTTTATCRCTAATCATTTTAATTATCTGTATAAAGTATTTRTAATATTAGTTGTGCTCAATTGCATGTGATTTTAACATCGCAAAAAAATATACTACTTGCTATTCATTATGATCATCATTTTAATTTTATTTTAGATATTCATTTATTTATTTTAACCTATGAAAATTCATCCCTCTCATTTAAAATTTAAATGCTTACAAAATAATCGTATTGTTAGATTGACTGTTTATTATAGGTATAGTGATAAAATATTTACTTTGTATATATTATATTATGTTTATTGTATATWTGTAATTTCTATATGGTATTAACGTTTATTGTTCATTTTTGTTCGATGATCTTTACCTTAAAACAATCTTTACGTACCTCTAGCGATTCTCATAACTCTCATCACTCGGATAATAGTCGGATTGATTGGTATAATTTTCGATTCTAATTCTTCCAACGTGATACCCACTATGGACAATATAACGATACCAATGTCCAATATATTCCATCTGCAATAAATAAATAATAATAATAATAATAAATTATATGACGTAGTCGTATCAATACAAAATTATGATGTAAAAGTGTATGGRGCGAGATTAAAATCAAAGTTAACCCTTCCCTCCTTATCCACCTTTTGTGAGGCTGTACAATGTGTATACGTACTTGTCCTTCACGTAGAGCTGAAGTCCCAGTGCCAACATTTTCATCACGCACTCCAGTATGAACACGGCGGTGAAAAAATAATTGAATATTTTCAACGCGTAAGTCAACGCCTGAGCAAAATAAAAAAAAATGTGGTGAATACTCGTGGGGTTATTTTTTTTCAAGTGCATATTTACAAATATACAGTTTGAACGTGAAACAAAAAGAATATAATATGGGTCGATACCATTTAAGTACACGCGGTGAATGTATGTACTACAATTCTATA